AAACATACATCTATATCTTTAGAATGGCACTGTAATAGCTATATTGCTTTGAGCCATTGTTAAAAGACCAGAGGCACATAATTATTAACATAAGGGTAAGTTTCAGAAAGCCATCAAACCGTCACGTTATTTAGGATTGAGAATAGATCACTCTAGGATTACCTATAAATGTGGAGCGCCACGGTGATGGCAGACACACATACACGCCACTCCCCGGAAATATTATGACTATTTCATTGGGTCTGGTGCTGATTAATTCTTCTCCTGGTTCATCTTGTCTCAGGTGAACAGATGTCCCATTTTAAATAGTACTGCATAGCATTTTTAGCCCCAAACTTCAGCTTCCTTTTATTTTTCTTGCATTTACTGAGCAAGAGAGTTGGAAAGTTGGATTTAAATATTTGAATGCCTCCCAGTATTGCTAACATGTCACACTTTGTGCCACACAAACACCAAGCTTGTCCCACATTTAGTTTGTTGGGATCTGGTCACCCTTTACCTGTCTGGCACTGTCAGTGAGCATCATTTATTCCTGCTTGAACAGATTATCCCTGCCATACAGCCCCTCTACTCAACCTGCGAAATCCAGACCAACCAATTATATTCCCACATTATTATGGGTGGTTTACTGAGTGCACGTGCATGGATACCCAGTCAGTTTTTCTCTCAGCAGTGCGCTGGGTAAGAATTATTTATTGCAAAGAGTAAACCGCTAACTAAATGATTGTTTGTCAGTGCTTAGAAAAGCCATTTCAACAGGCGCATACTAAGCAGAGGGAATATGTAGTGCTTAACCTCAGACTGTTAGCACAATGAAGTTAGCGTGGTACAAAATGGAATTTACAGCTAACTCAGAGCTGATGCTACCAGTGTTGGTATAGCATAACATGTATTTCCAAAGGAACATCTTTTAAAGGCTTTGCCCATATTGCACATGCTTAAATGCATTGGTTATTTGTCTTAAAAGCAGCATTTGGGGGTCATTCATTTTTCTAGGAGGGGGAGGATGTTTCAGGGGATTGTCTATCCTTTATTTTAAGAAGCTTGTTGTGTTACTTTTTGTTTTTGATTTTTTAAAAACTGCTTTACCACATGTAGCCGTCCTAAGTGACAGACAAGCATAGAAGCACTAACAGGCACCTGTGTTTTATATCAAGCAAAGAGGATGAAGAACTGGGCTGAATCCTGCCGCATTATGTCGATACAGTCTTTGTGTTAGTTGTTTGAATAAATCAGACAATCTGAATGTTGTGTAAAAGGTTATACAGATATATTTACTGTTGTAAGTGAATTTGGTGTTAGTTAAAGGACGGTTCAGACCAGTTGTATTATATTGCATTTTTTCCCTGTTTCAAGCACCCAAACAAAGAAAGTTTCTTTGACTTCAGATGAAAAACAGTCACATATTTTTTTTTCAACTCTGGTTGTGGTAGCAGTTAATAATCGCTTCAGCAATGGACCCACACAGTATTGCTTGTGTACATTACATCACATCCTCATTTTACGATGTCATAAAATGTGCACATCAATTGTTTTTTCATTTTTCTTTATAAAACAATATACTGAAGGTTTTATCTGAGTGGTTAAAAAAAGAGCCTGCATTTGCTTTCCCTTTATTCAGTTTAGTTCATTTTTGTTTTATTAATATAGCTCCAGGTATCTCAGGGGCCTTTACATGATAAGGTAAGTCTTAAAATATTATAGAGAGGAACCCAGTA